CTCCAAACAAAAACAAACAATTAAACTCATGAGTCACAAAAAAGTATGGAAGCAATCTTTGTTGTTTCGTCTTTATCTTACTTTCTGGCCGGTCTCAAGCAATTCCTTGTTCATGCATTTACTTGTATAAACATACTTTTGTTTGTTCGGCGGAGGGCCGATTATTACCATAAAGGATTGCTTTACCACTTTTAATGTTGCGGTGGAGGGTTTCATAAACACTGGACGTAATTCAATCACACATACAACACAATTGACCACGCGGAGCAGAGGACACCTCACACACACACACACACACACAGAAATATGCACGTGCAGCCACTCACACATGCACACACACAACAAAAACAAACAGCTCAAACTAATAAACACTTAACACAACAGAGTGAAACACAATCACAGCTGAATGAGAGCCATCATGTGCGCTTGACCGAGCCTGTGCCTCTCTGACTGGTCAAAGGCAGCCTTGCGAGAAGGTTAACTGGACTATATTTGTTGTTATTCCACCGTGGGCATCTGTTCCATTGCTTACATTAGCAGTTATCGACTGCGCCAATATTAGTCATGGCCCCGGAGTTGTGTAATTCAGACTTACCAAAGCGTACCATCCACCACCATGGTCTGTTTCCCCCTCTAGCCATGCCCTGATAGGGTAATGTGGGGTGTAATGATGGCCAATTAGAAGGGATCACAAAGCAGGACATGCAAACAGAGCCCAACAGAGCAGACCCGGCGGAGCTGCGCCCTGCCGTGGCTGCAGGCAACTTTCTTTTCCCTGGTGCTGATCTCTTATCAGTATTTAGCCGAATGAGTGTGGATTTCATTTGTGGCGAGCTGATCTCAAATCAGTTTCCTTGGGAACACATCTCTGAACTTGCAGTGCAGCGAGGCTGTGCTGGGCAGTGTCAGATAGTTGGACCACCCAGTTTCTAGCTGCACTGTGAGGCCATTGTGCATCCATGCAGGCAGCGCCCTGATTCATAACAGAGCCGATGGTCTATGTCTGAATGAGTGCAGTATGTGGCGAGTGGAGATAACCTCCAGCACATTGTATCAGTAATTGGCCCTGATGAATTAAACAGCCTCAGAGATTTGCTTGGTGCAAATTGAATAATGGTTGTTTTCCTGCTGTAGATGTGTTAGATAATGACGCCACACAATGACCTGAGCGCACGCAGGACGTCGGTGTGTTTGTGTACCTGGGCATTTGTGTGTCCTTGTTCGTGCTCTTCTCATGTGTTACAGTATAGAGACAATTTAACCCTTGTGATCTGCTGACATTCATTTCACTTTTTCATTGTTTGCAGTGCCCTCCACAAACACACTGCAGTGTGTGTAAAAATAATAACAATAATAAGAACTATTGGGGAATTATCCAAAGAAAAGTACAGAAAAAGTACTTGAGTGGTAACAAACAACAGCTAGAAAATGGTTGGCATTGTATGTTTCTGTGAACCAAAGGTAGGTTACATCTGCAAGTTATTATGTAGCAGATACATTGAAACTTTACATTTCAACAATGCTGTGGTTACATGTGACTAGATTTAGAAACAAAAACCACTTGGTAATGGTTAGGAAAAGCATGTATTGGCTTAAAATATCTGGTTTGGGGCACAATCCTCACTGGAAAAACACCCACATCTCTGTAAGAAACAACCGCTTTTTGTGGCACTCCCTGCTGGGAAAACAGCAATGAGTCACAACAAAACACCTACATTTTGTGCCTAAAAAGCCACTAGAAAAACAGTGACAGGTTGCTAGGAAACAGCCACTTTCGTTGCCTAAAAAGCTGCTGGAAAGACAGTAACGGGTCACCGAAAAACATTTATGTTTGGTGCCTAAAAAGCCACAGGAAAAACAGTGACAGCTTGCTACAAAACACACACATTTTGTGTCTAGAAAGACACTGGAAAAACAGTGGCAGGTGACTAAAAATCAGCTGGAAAAACAGTGGCAGGTCGCTACAAAACACCCACATTTTGTGCCTAAAAAGCCACTGGAAAAACAGTGACAGGATGCTACAAAACACCCACATTTTGTGTCTAAAAAGACGCTGGAAAAACAGTGGCAGGTGACTAAAAATCAGCTGGAAAAACAGTGGCAGGTCGCTACAAAACACCCACATTTTGTGCCTAAAAAGCCACTGGAAAAACAGTGATAGGATGCTACAAAACACCCACACTTTGTGCCTAAAAATACGCTGGAAAAATTGTGGCAGGTCGCTACAAAATACCCACATTTGGTGCCTAAAAAGCCATTAAAAAAAACAGTGATAGGATGCTACAAAACACCCACATTTTGTGTCTAACAAGACGCTGGAAAAACAGTGGCAGGTGACTAAAAAGCAGCTGGAAAAACAGTGGCAGGTCGCTACAAAACGCCCACATTTTGTGCCTAAGAAGCCACTGGAAAAACAGTGACAGGGTGCCAGAAAAAACACCCACATTTTGTGCCTAAAAATACGCTGGAAAAACAGTGGCAGGTCGCTACAAAAAACACACATTTGGTGCCTAAAAAGCCACTGGAAAAATAGTGAGAGGTTGCTACAAAACACTTACGTTTGGTGCCTGAAAAACCACCTGAAAAATAACGAAGGGGGGGGCTACAAAACATTGATGTTAATGCCTAAAAAGCCACAGGAAAAATAATGGGTTGCTACATAATGGACATGTTTGGTATGTAAAAAGCTGCTGGGAAAAAGTGACAGGTTGCTATAAAACACCCACATTTTGTAGGAACGTTTCACTTCAGAAATGTTGATATGATACATATCAAATGTGAAAATGTAACGTATTTGTGGTTTGCAGAAATGTTCAATGACAACATAATCGTCTGCCGCCTGGGCTGGTTGTAACCCTTCCCTTTGCCACAAACTGGGCCTGTGCATCGAAGAACAATGAAATGACCGTTAAGGTTTTGTCATTACACCATAAAGAAATACATCATGTTTTACATAATAAATTGGCTATGCCTCAACTATATGCTATATATGTAAATATTCCCTTTGATGGTCAAACAACTGTCCAAATACTAATGAATAATCTGTAATAAAACTTCAATAACAGAAATCCTTATGTGGGATTTTGGAGCGGTAAAGACGTACTGTCGACACCAATCACAAATACAGAGCACACAAATATGTTTGCATGTTTTACAGCCGGGGTCCCTGAGACCCCAAACAGAAGTTGTACATCGTTCTCTGTAGTCGCCTTCTGAATGATGTCATCAGTTTAAAATCATGTTTATTAGTAATTCTAATAAAATTAGCAAAAGCTGTGAAATATCAAGGTGACAAAACAATATTCAGTTTGTATTTGAGCTGTTAGAAGAAGGCCCGGGACATTTAAGGGTAAAACAGTTCCTTGGAAAAAAAAAAAAAAACTCTTGCAGAGCTTCTTCTAATGATCTCCTGATGACACTTCAGTCTGTGTATGCAAACATGACCAAGTCTCTCCCAAAACTGTAAACCACACATGCCAGAACGTTAATTTGTGATGTTTATGACAGAAATGATCTGGAGCGGCTACGACTGCAATGAATATATGACTGGCAAAAATATCGCTCATAAATACGATTGAAATCTGTGTCGTGTTAACAGTTTCTTCAGCAGAAATACCCACAACACAAGAAAATCACCCTGAGAACTGTCTGCCCAGTGTCGACACTTCATCTACACAGAACATACAAGTGGCGTCATAAGTGCCTCTTGCCTTATTTGTAGCCGTGGGATTAACTCATTCATGTGCACAATTCATCCTGTGAACCGATCGCTGCCAATGAAAAACACATGAATTTAGTTTCAGGCTGGATTCTCCCTGTTAATACTTAAAGTCTGAATTGCATTTGTCGTAACAGAAGATGGAAGAGATACAGAAATGCTTCAGATGTTTTACAGCCAGTTTTACCAGCAGTTAAAATTGCCTCACTTCATATACAGTAGTACCGCTCAGTGTCTGCTGGGTAACATGTGGGCATCTTGATACAGTATGGAAAAAATATAAAGCACGACCACAGAAGGCGTGCGGGGTGTTACTCATTACGCAAGATAACATTTGGATAACATGTGAGTTCACCTCTAAATGAATCCGTCACACTGGGCACACACAGAGTCTGCCACTGTGAGGCCTGCAGAACAAGGTGTGCTGCGACGATGAGTTTTAACACACACAGTAATTTGTAATTTAGTTGGACCTCTGAGTTCCTGCGTGTTTTCAGAGCGTAATGAAATTGATAAACCTGTTATTTCTTATTGTGTTAATTAGTGTCAGTGTTCTGAAACTGTGCCAGCATCTTGAATGTCTTCTTACCTGAGGAAATAACTTTTAGTGATTTGTAGTCAATTTAATATTTTGTGCTTCCCTTCACAGCAGTGGTTGAAGTCTGATCAGGTAGAGTCACACCCCTACATGGCTGGATCAAAGTGCCAGAGTTCCCGAGACAAAAATCAGATGTGGGACCCCTATCTATTTCACACACATGCACAACTGAGATTATAGAAAATGACAGAAATCTCCTTAAATTCAGGCAAGAAAGCGATACAACCTAGTATGCCAATATTTTTGCATGGCAACATTGTACAAATACAGGGACGCAAAGAATCGATTTGTGTATCAAATTAATTATTTATCTTACAAATACAAATTAAACTTTTGGTAGCCCACTAGAATAACAACATCAATTGCTTTTTCAGTCCACTAGATACATGTTGCTGCAATAAAAGTGAGTGAAGTGAGATGAACAGACTGAAAACTTTATTTAATTAGATAAAACACATGTTGACAAAGCTCTCCTTTGGGGCCAAAATTTGCAAAATTGCAAAATTTGAAAAAGGCAATAAATCGCGATATATTTTATCACAACACTCAGCGTATCACAACGAATTTAAAATCGCAATAATATTGTATCGTGACTTAAACATCGTGATAACGCCATATCACCAAGCCTCCAAACCTTAGTGCTCATACTATAAATACTAAAAATTCAATAGCTTAGAAACTCACCAGTTGCCAAACGGCAGACTAAAGCTGAAGCTTTTGGAGCCCTCAGAGGTCCTGGGTGGGTCTTGGGGAGAAGTGGTCTACTTTGCCCAGCTGGTAATCCAGTTTTGCATCCCTAAAGAACAGAGAACAGACAAACACATTAATCAGCTGACTGTTTGCTGAACCTATCCATCAAACATCAATTGCCTGATCATAGTTTAGCTACGGTAACTAGGCAGAGAGTGCAGGGGGCTGTAATATGACTGCTACTTGGCATCTTAAGAGTTTGGAGGATGGTGTCCTTTTTTTAGCCTTTATCCAAGATAGCATTACGTTTAAGTCTTCGAGTATATTCTCAAGTGAAACACTGAAGTGGAAAATATAAACAATAAAGCAAGCCACTGTGGCTAAACATGTAGCACTGCTTATTTACCCTTTTACACCACACTCCTTTTAAACAAGTCAGACTGAAACATTAAATTGTTAGCCAGACAACGACACCATTTTCACTCAACTCATGGAACTAACATTGGCTTAAGTAGCTAGCTTGGAATTAGGGATGGCACCGATTAACCATTAAGTCCTGAGAATCTTTTTGACCAGATATGCCTGTCTGTCTATAGTTTAATTTTGCTACTCTTCAGTTAACTGCACCACCTGGGTCTGGCGGGAGCTAGCTAGCGGCGCCGCTCATTTAGTGATTACCACTTGTAAAGCCAACCCAAACCAATAGCCTTGTGGTAAAATTGTGCCCACCCTTAGGTCTCCCCCCCAGTCGCACAGGCGAGCAAGTGGCTAAATTTTGAGCCGCAAATTCCATTAAGCATTGTTGACTACTGTTAGCTCTGTTGGAACCGTTAGCAGTGTTGGCACTGCTAACGGTCACTTAGCAGACTCAAAATGAAGCCGCTTGCTCACTGGGGGTATGTGGAGGGAGAACAGAGGGTGGTAGCAGAGGTAATCGCCCAGTGAACAGCGCCGCTATGCCCAAGTGGGTTGTAAATGGGCGGCAAAATGGGCGCTATATGGGATTCTCCACAGGTTCCATATTGGCACCATGCTAGTTACCCACATGAGGTGGACCCCATACCGGTTATACTAGGGCTACCTGGGTACCAAGTGGGTATGGGCCAAAAATGGGCATCCTATCAGGGGCCTACTTGGGTGAACCCACCCATGTGGGCAACTGTCATGGGGCCAATATGGAGCCTCTGGACAATCCCATATAGGGCCCATTTTTCAGCCCATTTACTACCCACATGGGCCCCACATACAAACACTGGCTGTGGTAGTCACTGCAGAGCTGCCAAGAATAACGTTAGCTAACCAGTGGAGACCAGAGGGTGGGTGGCGGGTGCTATGTTCATGCATGTTAACGCAGCTAGCCGCCTGTGTTTCTGCAAAGCCAAGGGAAAATTAAATGAAAGACATTTACATCACGTGAGATTAAATGTTCACTACCTTTAAATGGAAAGTGAAATGTGGTGCTACAGCTCACTAAAAGAAAAGGCCTCTTGTATTTCAACTTCTTTTCGATTTTTCCTAAAACTTAACCACATATTTACCAGTTAATGGGTGTCGGGTTATTGAAAGCAAAATTAACAACACTGATATCCCTACTGTAATACTATAATGATAGTTGATCGTTAGAATTGGGAAGCCTGGCTGTGTATGTCTATGTAAAATGAAAAATACAGTATTTTTAAAAAAAGACCATGAGTTCAGAGAATCTGCCCTCGATGGGTAACTTCACAGGTGTAGCAACAGTAACTAAGGAGGGTGGGGCTTAGCGAAGGGTCAGTTACAACACCTAAACCATTAACCAAAAACCTTACTGAAAAAGAGCAACATGTTGACACTAAAGCGTCAACAGACTTTCTAACTTTGCAGCATTGCTCTGCGCAGCATGCTTCTCAGTTTCCCTCCTGTTTACACCGAATGTGCACAACAGCTGACAAATGTGACTTTCCCTTATTCATAGTTTATTTTATCTGCGCTTCATCACAAATGCACATGAGCACATAAATTACGCTCAGCTATGCACGAGCACACACAGCTGATGCACATGCACTTTTTTTTTCTCTGCCTTTGTGATGCCTCCAGCGGGACCCGGAGCTAAACAGGCGATTGACACCCTCTGGTTTCAACTTCTGTGACCCTTCCAGCAGCCTGTGAAGTAGGCACAGAACAGCAGAGCGAGGCCGTTGGAAATATCTGCGGTCAGCTGCGCGGGGAGGAGGGAGCGAAGGAAAGAAACTTGCTTTTAATAAACAAGATAATGGGTGCCATACGCCCCTTCTCACACCACCGCTGCCTGCAATCTCTCTCTCAATCTCTTACTCTCTCCGAGCCTTACTCACACTATCTTACGCTTTCTATAAAAATTACATTCATTGTTTAAGAATGGGGTGAAAGGCTGGGAGAGTGTGAGAGACAGAAAGCAAGGTTGACTGGGAGGGGGAGTTGGGGGGGCTGATCTTCAAACCAACAATTAACTGGCGTCAGGATGTTTATGGGCAGAGTTAGTTTAAGCGACCGGCCCTCAGTCAGTTCAGCTGTGGCCTTAAACACTCGGATATCACACACAGCGAAAAAAGACCGTCCATAATTCATTTTCAGATTTCTTTTACACTGGAATCAAAAGACTCTCTAATTGAACTGTTTAAATTCCTCATCAGTGTCTCAGAGAAGGAGTCACCCTGCAGTGTGAGGAGTCAACAGGTCACATTGTCCTCACCAGAACAGGAACAAATGCCTGACAATACGCTACTATCTGCCTCAAGCTGGTTCCAAGAAGTTTGACGGCAGTCTGAGCGCGTTCCAAGAATCACAGAGAGGTGAGGACGGGCTGAGGGGCTGACACACACAAAAAACTCCCGACGATGAGATTTTAACTGGAAAAAGACAGAGCGTGCACAGACAGTGAAGCGGGGAAAGTTGTGACGCCGTGTGCGTGTGTTTGTCTCTGGTTTCAGGGCCAACCCTCTGTGCTTGTCGGCCAGAGAGATGGCAGAGAGAGACAGTTTAATATGCAGCAGCGGTTTTACAAGGGGGGTGGCACTTACTGTAGAGTGTGTGTGCGAGTGTGTGAGTGTGTGTGTGTGTGTGTGTGTGAGAGCGATATGCTTAAAGGTCCAGTTCTTTAGATTAAGTGCAGAAACAGAATATAATAAGTATGTTTTCTTTAGTGTATAATCACCTGAAAATAGGTACGCTGTGTTTTTCGTTACCTTAGAATGAGCTGTTTTTATCAACATAACGAGCAGGTCCTCCTCTACGGAGATCGCCATGTTGCACCACCATGTTTCTACGGTAGCCCAGAGCAGACAAACCAAACACTGGCTCTAGATAAGGCCTTTCATGTTTCCAAATCGGCCACCATAGTTAGCAGGCCCTCTGTGACATGCAGTGTCAGAGAGATTCAGTGTTTTACTGGTTTAAATCACCTGGTCTGATAGCCAGTTGCACAAAACACCTTAAGTTCAGATTTTCCTTAAAGTCCTAGTTGAGGTTTCCTCAAAATCAGTTGCACAATACACCTTATATTCTTCCTCTCACGGTTTCCCTGACACAAAAGATCTTAGTAACCAATGCAGGGTAAAAAAAACTAAACAAAACCTAATGTACCTTAAGTCTATTTTAACTGCAACATGACCGAGTTTAAGGTGATGACTGAAAAAATAAAGATGAGTGTTCTGCGATCAGGAGAACCCAGTGACATGCATTTGAATTTACATTATAGATTTGACTGAATTAATTTCCGTTGCATTTTCTTCTTACAATCATTTTCTGTTTTCTGGTATTGTGGGGTCAGATTACCTCTGTAGTTTGTGCTTTCTAGAATTGTATTACTCCAGAAGTTAAATCTTTTCCTCCTCTGAGCAATAAGGTCTTCTTGTCTTCTTTTCTTCTGCCATTTTTTTCACGAACTATGAGCCAACTTTGTGAGACGATAACAGGCGTCACCAGCGTGAGTCCAAGCAAATGAACAGTCTCCATGGAAACTTATCGCCGTAAAATGTCTTTCAGTGACCAGTGAAATCTTGCCGACTAACTTTTCTGGTCGACTAACGCTCGGTCGACTATTAGGGGGCAGCTCTGCTATAAATGCACCTTTGACTGACACTTCACCCAGCTCAGAGTGCAAACATAAGACAGACAGTGAAACTGGCAAACAATCTAAAAACGTATCTGTTTCTCATCTTATATTTAATCTGCTCATCCTCATATCACCCGCAACTATCTCAGATAAAACCCTGTGTATGTCTGGTCTGAAATTGGCGTGAGGTGTGCACATTTTCACTGCATGTTCTTCCTTTATAAATATCAGTGTACATGTAGGCAAAGGCATCCACATGGGTTTTATACTTGCACATCATTAATGCATGTCCTACCCCTGGTTCTTTGTTTTGCAGAGGAAGAGACCTCTGCGGCTAATTTGTCTCCTGGTAAAAAACTTCCTGAACAACGAACACTGAGCGAATTCTAACCAGGAGTTCATGCCACGAAATCCTACACACTGCTTCTTTAATCCTTTGAAACCGGAGCAAATTAGCTTGATAAATAAAAAAGTAAAAAACAAACAAGAAAAACCTAAACTAAAACTAAAACAAATCAGCAAGACACTAGTAAAAAGAGAAAATTTAAAACAAGAAAATTAGTAAAACAATCAAAAAAAAAAAAATTATAACATTTTTCTTTGTTCCTTTTTATAAAAATAATTTTCGAAATCTTTTTTTTTTCCCCTTTGCAATTTGTGGGACAATTCTTACCAAGTTTTTGAACAAGAAAACTGATGTCGCTCCAGGTCTCAAAGGGTTAAGATAATATGGACTGAATGAGGTGCAACAATCCGTCTCTGCCCTGAAACAAATTAGTAAAGGATTTCACAACGTTTGCAGCACAGGGTGTGTGGAAACCAGTGCGAGCGTGTCTTGAAGCCGGCCTGTTTTTATCTTGCTGGATCATTTATTTCAGATATCTTTAGACAATCTTAGATGTCATAGAATATCTAAAGGGCAGAGTGAGATAAGGCAAAATCATTTTCCAGGAGAGGGAGATGATTTAGTTCATCTAATGTCTGCTTTATTTCTGTTTTCCTTCCCCAATTAACAAATTAGACTACAGTTTCTG